TAAATAAATAAATAAATAAATAAATAAATAAATAAATAAATAAAATGTGACCTTTAAGCAAGTATTTGGTTTTGTGTGTGAAAGGAAGAGAGTGGGATTTTTTATTTTGTACAAATACTGCATGGCAGAAACTTTGATGGTCGCTTAACTTCCTGGCTACTGTTACCTGATGGTGGAGACCAGATAAGCTTCACCTGGTCCACAGAGCCTCTTGTGATCTGGGTCATGTTTGATTCTCCTGCATCCACGTGCTCATTCTTCATCATTTATGAAGTGACTGTGACAGGAAGATGCTCTGGGAAGGGCAATGGTTTTGTGTCTTTCAAGTAGATACTCTTTAAGAAGCTATTTTACATTTATTTAGTAAATCAACTTTCTATTAATACAAACTTCAGGCCTCTTTTTTTCATGCATGAAAAATGACTTTATGGTGTATGATTTTCAAAATAAAACAACTTGTAGGGAGGCAACATGAATGTGTTATGATTTATAAGATTCCTAACACTATTTTGTGAGTTCTATCAGGAATGCAACCCACCACACTGCTGACATTAGGTGCCTGCTGCCTGACTAGCATAGGAGAGATGGTATGGCCCATAACTGCCTCATGGGGTTTACCTGTGCCTGAGGTTCACCAGGGAAACAGAGGCATGTCCTGTGAATTAAATCATTCTCAACTGACACTTGATAATCAGAGAAGTTACACTGGCACAGGGGATTGTGACTGTAACATAGTATCTGCCCCTTAACCTGCTTTTAGCCTCAAGCCCATAGTCTCAGGCCTAATACCATGATTCTCTCTCTCTCTCTCTCTCTCTCTCTCTCTCTCTCTCTCTCTCCCCTCTCTCTCTGTCTCTCTCTCTCTCTTTCTCTTTCTCTCTCTCTGCATGAGTATTTTGCCTGCCTGTATGTAAATAAACTGGTGTGTACAATGCCTGCAGAGGCCAGAAGAGGGTGTCAGATCCCTTGGAACTGGAGTTACTGATAGTTGTTAGTCACCATGTACATGCTGGGAACCTAATCTGGGTTCTCTGAAAGAGCAGCCAGTGCTCTTAACCACTGAGTAGCCTTTCCGGCCCTTAACACTATTATTCTTAACTTATTTACACCCACAAGTGGCATTCAGAAATACGGGGAATACATGGATTGCCTCTACCAGCACCACAGAACCCAGTATACCCAGAGTGTATAAGGGCTACCTTTCAATAGCAGTACCCCATGGGCACAAAGTATTTCCAGTTGGGAAACCTTAAGAGAAAACATCTGTCATTATTCAGTTGTCTTGGTGTAGTGTTATGTGTATTTAAATGAGCTTAAAAATACATTTAGCTTTTTAAAAAGTTCATGGAGGGGGCTGGTGAGATGGCTCAGTGGTTAAGAGCACTGACTGCTCTTGCAGAGGACCCAGATTCGGTTCCCAGCACCCCACAGAGAAGCTAGCAACTGTCTGTAGCTCCAGTTCCAGGGGATCTAATGCCCTCTTCTGACATCTGCAGGCATTGCATGACATGGCTACACTTACACACATGCAGGCAATATACTCACACATTAAATAAATAAAAACAATAAATAAACATTTTTCTAAAAGTACATGGAAACAAAGTTTGGGGTTTTTTCTTTGTTTTAACGGGTAGATATAATCTTTTAAAAAATAATTTATTGAGAATTTCATACAAGTGTATAAGGTGTTTTGATCAAATCCATGCCCACTCCCTCCTCTCCAACTCCTCCCATATCTCCCCATCACTTTTTTTCTGATAACTTCACATACTCTTTCTTCTTCTTTTCTTTTTTTATGAGGCTTTTTGCTACTCTAACATTCCCCCCTCTGAAGAGGTAATCCTAAAATCCTTTAAGGATTAGATAAAAGCTCCCAAATACTTTAGACATTTTTGGCCTTTGAAATGGAGTGTTGCTAATAAGCCCAAGGACATTGTGACTTTTAGCCAAGAAACTGGCTACTTTTCTTTGGGGTCTTTTTACCCTAACTGCCTAGCCAATTTCTACCTCCTATTCTTACCACACCATCCTCTGAAGGGGTTACCCAACTTGTGGATAGGGAATTGGGACGCAGGCCTCTCTTGCTTCTTACATGCTGAACAGGGACTCAGGGTGAGGCAACTGGGGTACCCCTTCAAGGGGTCTATCTAAAAGACTCCCAAATTGCATAACTCTCTTTTTTGTGTGAAGGAGAAGTAAAGGCAAGAGTAATTAGCATTACAAGTTCTAGACAGGGAATTAGAAAAAAGTCAGAACAGGGCAATTTTCAAATGTTCTTATGAAAGTCCATTGGAATTTCTTGACAAGGGCTCCCAAAAGCATCCCTCTATTGGTTTTTCTAGATTGGGGGGAAAACAAATTTAGCCATCATTTTAGAACAACAGTAGGTTATCTTCCTTAGCCATAGGTGAACACTACAGTATTGGAAAACAAGATAAGTCTTACATCCGAGCAGCAGGACTTTCTGCTTAGAAATAAAACCATTAATGAGAAATAATTGTCTAAATAACTTTTTATATGGACTTAAGCCTAATGTCTGGGAAGTGTAATCCCTAACTCTTAAGGAAATATACTGATGACTTTACTCTTTGGTTATACTTTCCTTTTGGGTGTTTAGGACCATATAGTTGGCCCAAATAAACAAATTTATTTGGAAACAAAGTTTTATAGGGAAGTTCACAGCATTCACAGAGTAGAGCTGCTCCAGGTGAACAACAGTGGGGCCACCCTGCTAGCTGCTTGTTCTCCCCCATATGCACAAGATGGCCTCTGAAAGAGGTAGGGGATCCCTGGATCCCTGGACATAAGTTTATAAGCCATTGACTTAAACCACTAAGAACCTCTTCCAAATGTTCCTGTTCATTCCACTCTTGCTGCTACTGCCTACCAACTTGCCAGATAACAGGATGAAGCAAATTTTTTGGTTGATCAGGCTAAAGAAAAACGCAACTGCAATAGTTTGTTTCTACAAAGTCCCCAAAGGCCCATTGTTAAAACCTTCCTCCTGTTGGTCCTGGTTAAAATAAACGGGTCACAATAAATTCCCAAAAGTCATGAATCTAGGAAAAAGAGTGGTAGGGATGGGGGAGGGGAGGTTGACAGGAATGGGGGGCAGATAAGAAGGGGGGTAATCAGAATACATTGTATACATGCAGGAAATTGTCAAATAACAAAATTAACCAAGAAAAAAAGAATAATTTATGACTGAGGAAAAAATTCCTGTTACTTATCCCCCTCCCCCCCTCCCCCGTTTAAGACAGGGTCTCCCTGTAGCCCCAACTGGCCTGGAATTTGCTCTGTAGACCAGATTGGCCTCAATCTCAGAGATCCTCTTGCCTCAAAAGTGTGCGCCACCATGCCCAGTGTATTTGTCTATTTTGTTTTTAGAGTGGGTCATCCTATATAGCAACAGGTGTCTCCTCAGAATTGAATTACTCTAAATTGAGACGAGAATCACGAAAATTAGGTTCCAGGCCATACTGGAATTTGTGGTTCTCTTGCCTCAGCCTCTTCAGTGCTGGGATTGGAGGCGTGTAATCCTTAAAAGGGGTCGGGGGGTCTAGTGGGACATCTCCAGGTCATTCGGGGTGTGGGTATGTGTTTGGAAGGATAGAAACATCTATGTTTCCCTGCTTCTGTTCTCTGTCCTGAAATCACGAAAATTAGGTTCCAGGCCATACTGGAATTTGTGGTTCTCTTGCCTCAGCCTCTTCAGTGCTGGGATTGGAGGCGTGTAATCCTTAAAAGGGGTCGGGGGGTCTAGTGGGACATCTCCAGGTCATTCGGGGTGTGGGTATGTGTTTGGAAGGATAGAAACATCTATGTTTCCCTGCTTCTGTTCTCTGTCCTGAGGGGAATGATCTCAGCATTCTCCTTCTGCCTCCTGTTTATGGATGCACAGTGACCACCCCCTCACACTCCTGCTGTGATGGAGGACCCTCTGTGAGCCAAAATAAACCCTTTCTTCCTCAAGTTGCTTTTCTCAGGTGTCTTGTTGCAGAAATGAAAGCACCAACTAGCCCCTCCCTCCCTCCCTCCCTCCCTCCCTCCTCTTTCTCTCTCATCACCAGGAGCCAGGAGCTTCTCTTCTTCCCACCACAGCTTGAGAGCAATATGCCTGCCTCATCACGGACCAGAAACTCCAAAACTGTGTGCCAAGATAAATCTTTTCGGTTTATAAAATGATTGATCATGCCAGGAATTGGTTGTGATGGAAACTGATATACCAATTTCTTTCCTCCATGTGCTCAAGATACACCACTTTATCTCCAGTTTTTCTCTTCAATAAAATAAAATAACAGAAAAATGTCCTTTCCCAAATGAGTCAGACTTTCAATGCCTACCATTGTTTGCTTCTTTACAATCTGTTTCATTATCCTACACAGAACTTTAGTATCCCAGCTTCTTATCAAGAACTCAGCACATATAATGTAATGGGTAGGATACGGTAAAAATGAACTCTTTAAGCATATGCCTTAGGGAAACTAGCACGGGAAGGTTTCTTATGGCATTATTCATAATATCAGCAAAAGGTTCAATCTAATAGAATAGGATGATAAATATGATAGTGGACACATTCTGAATACAATGTTGCATGATAAAGGCAAGTTGCAAAATGACACAAAAAGCGTAGTAACGTCTTTGCCAGTTTAAGAGCACACAAAGCCACGCCTTTGCCTATTGGCACATTGTTATTTATATGAACACATGGCTCAGATCCACTGTGCAGGGATTTCTGTTTAAATCTCAAATGGTAACTTAGGAATGATAAAGAAAAAAACAGTTGCTCACACTATTGTAAGTCACCTGAGTAGTGGGTGGAATGGAACGTTCCGAAGGGCACTGAAGGTCTTAATCACAGGAATAGGAGAGGATTTCAGACTAGGGTACAGGGAAGAAGTGGGAAATGGGACCACAAAGAATCAAGTGTGAGTGACAGAATGTAGTTATGTACAGTTTCTTCATCTGAAACCAGAGTTAAGTGGAAAAGGTGCCCGCTCCTTTATCCCCTGTGGCCTTAACTCACTGGAGCAGGTGCCTCCTCCCCTCTCAGCTCCCACAGTTTTAACTCCCTGGAGCTATTCCCTGCATGTCTCTGACTCTCTAATGAGGCACTCTCAGGCCACTAACCCCCCCCCTGGTTGCACAGATGCAGTTTTTCAGACAATTCTACTTGTTTAGTATTAGTTCCTTCATTTAATTTTATTGACATATATTCATCCAGTGGCTCAATGTAGCAGCCAGCCTTCAAGATGTCATGATCTTTAACTCCCGGGTTATAGATATGTGTGTGAGACCCACTCCCACTGTCTCAGCGTTGGACCCATTTGACTAATAGAATGTGACCAAAGTAAAGGTGTGTGACCTGTGAAGGTAGATTGTAGATCCCTTACGGGTTTCCTGTTTTGGGGGTTACCAGAACTGTGAAATGAGGACACCCAAGATGCCCAGGGAGGGCTTGGGGACAGCTCAGGTAGTAAAGTACTTGCTATGCAGGCACAAGGACCTGTGTCAAACTCTGATCTCCACATGCATATAGTATATATATGCTTATATATATGTTTATATATGTTGCATATATAAACACACATGTGTGCACACACGTGCTCACATACACAAAGAAGCTAATGTGCTCGAGCTGCCTTGGAAATCAATCCCACAGCTCTAATCTTGCATTTAGATGGCTGAAACCCTACTAATGTCTCAGCTGCAACTTCAGAAGAGAATCCAAGCCACGCTTACCCAGCCAAGCCATTCACAAAGATAATGTTTGCTGTTATTTTAAACCACTGATTTAGGGGATAGTTTATAACATTGTAGTAACTTGTACACCAGGCCATGTATTTTTCAAAAACCATAAGTTTCACGAAAGCTTCTTACATTTGCCAGCATTAATAGATGCTTATTCTTTTGGCAGTAATACTTTAATTTCCAAGCGCACTTTAAGTTCTTAAATAAGAGCGGCTTTGCAAGACCTATTTTATTTTATTTTACTGAGACAGGGTTCTGCTAAGTGCCTTGGTTGGTCTAGAAGTCAATATGTAGACAGGCTGGCTTTGAGCTTGCAACAGTCATCTCCTGTCTCTGCCTCCCAAGCACTGGGATTTTCAGAAATTCAAAAGCATCACAAAACATCAAATTAAAAAAATTAATTTTCAAAGCTGAATGTCAATTAAATTTAATTTAAAACAAAAAATTATATTTAATTTGTACTTTAACTCAGATTTGCTCAGCCCCAGGACTCCTGTTTCACAACCCTTCAGCTCAAGGCTCAGGGATCAGCATGGGAGGTGGAAGAGGGAGTGGAAAGACTGTAGGTCCACATGACAGCAGGGTCAAGGCCATTCTCGTTGGGTTCCATTATTCTAGAAGCTAGTTTCCATCTTCTAGGAGCTCGTGGTCCAAGAGGGATGTGGGAACATCACCATTGCTTCTTAGGTGAGCACTGCAAGAAGAGGGCAGAGAGAGACTTGTCTGTAGAATCAGCTCTTGAGTAGCATTCCTGGAAGACTTGTGTAATCTACATTTTATTGGGAGACATGGGCCTTGGCTGCATCTACAGTCAAGGGAAACTAGGCAGCATACGGATTGGTTAAGATGTAGAGAAAATGAATGCAGGGTTAGCTAACAGTCTAGATACAAGTGCTTTCATATTTTGGACTTGATATTCTCAAATATTGAAGACTGAATGTTAGAAAGACAATACAGAACTTTAACTGAACTATTTACCATTTGTATGTGTGTGTGTGTGTGTGTGTGTGTGTGTGAGAGAGAGAGAGAGAGAGAGAGATAGGTAGAGTGTGTGTGAGAGAGAGAAAGAGATGTGGAGTGTGTGTGTGAAAGAGAGAGAGAGAAAGAGAGGTGGAGTGTGTATGTGTGTGTGAGAGAGAGAAAGAGAGGTGGAGTGTGTGTGTGGTATATATACTTGTTAGTGTAGGTATATGCATGTGTGTATGAAGGTGTGCATGCATGTGTGTGTGCCTGCATGCAGAGACCTGGAGTTGATTGCTTTCTACCTTCCAAACATTTTTTAAAAGATTTTTATTTTTAATTATATGTGTATATGTGTCTTTGTGTGTCTATGTATATGTAGCTGCAGGTGCCTGTGAAGGCCAGAGAGGGAGTTGGATACCCTGGAGCTGGAGTTACAGGTGGTTGTGAGCTGCCCTATGTAGGTGCTGGGAACTGAACTAAGGTCTGCAGGAGCAGCAAGAGTTCTTAATGGCTGAGCCATCCCTCCAGCTCCCACCTTTGAAAACAGAGTCGGGGCCTCTCACTGAACCCAAAGCTCATTGATTTGGCTAGGCTGGCTGTCATGAATTTGAGAAATCTGCCTGTCTCTACCCTCCCAGCCCTACCCAAGGGCTGAAGTTAAGCCATGGCTGGCCTTTTTTTTTTTTTAATGTGAATTTTGGTGATCCAAATTCAGGTCTTTATCCTTGCCCGGCAGGCCCTTTAACTCAGACAGGAGGCTGAGCCACCTCCCAGTCTGCACTGTACTCTTAAAGAGAGTCCTTCACTCCTCCCTGTCCTTTACACTCCCTCCCCCACATTGATACCTTGTGCATTAAAGTGAACTATTTTACCACCATATTTCTCAGTCATTGAGTCCAGCATTGTCCATTTACCTACTTACTTAGATTCCTGGAGTTTTGATGCTAGAAACATTTTTTTTCATTTGAGTCTTGTGACCTGGATATGGTCCTTGTCTACCTGCAAGTGCAGCACATCGGCAACACACAGACCTACAAGAGGTAGCAATGCACATCCATCCATTAGAGAATTCTCAGTCTTACTTTCAAATTCTGATTCCTTTTTGTGAAGGAGAATGTTAGATATCAGCCCTATCCCCTATATTTCTCATTGCTCTCAAAAGTTTCCATATTGTGACCTTTGTTTTGAGACAGGGTGTTGCTATGTAGCCCTAGCTGGCCTGGAACTTGCCATGTAGACCAGGATGGCCTTAAACTGTGGTGATTCACCTGCTTCTGTCTCCTGAGTGCTGGGATTATATACCACATCATACTTGATCAGCTGATGTTTTAAGTCTTCCATAGGCTATCTATTGTTACAGCCAACAGAGTCTCCATTTTGATGAGGGAGATACAAACAACATGACAATATGTCAGGAAGGGACATATCATGTGATCAAATACCATAGGGTGTTAGAGAGCACAGGACCAAGGGCAGAAGAGCGTTTGGATAGTCTAATGGAGAAGGTCAGAGAGATATGAGACACAGAGAGGGGATCCCATTTGAGGGACATATCTTTGTTTTAAATGTTCAAGTCATGGTTGTTAATAAAGTGTTCTCATAATATTACTCTGTGAACTTTAACCCAGTGTGGTGGTACATGCTGCAATCCCAGAACTTGGGAGGCAGAGGCAGGAATATTTCTATGAGTTTCAGGCATAGCAAGTTTCAGGCCAACGAAGGTTACATAGCTAGGTCTCATCTCCAGAAAACAAAACAGAACAAAGGCTTGTTATTACGTCAAACTTATACAAAAAGTAGATAGAATAGTATAACGAACTCTGATGCAGCCATCGCCCATCTTTAATGATCGCCACTCATGACCAATTTTATTTCTCCTACAATGCCCTCTTTCCACATATACTAATCGTTTAAAATATTTTATTTATTATTTTAATTTTATGTATATGACTGTATTGCCTGCATGTATGTAAGTGTGCCCATGTTGTGCAATGCCCACAGGGGCTAGAAGAGGGCATCAGATCCCCTGGAACTGGAGTTACAGACAGTTGTAAACTGTCACGTGGGTGCTAGGAACTGATCCCAGGTCCTCTGCAAGAGCAGCCAGTGCTCTTAACAGCTGAACATCTCTCTAGTCCCCTTGATTATTTTCAAGGAGTTCTCAGCATCTCATCACATCATCTGTAAATATTTCATAAGAATCTTTCAAAGAAGCAACTTCCCTTTTTGTATTTATTTATTTAATGTGTGTGAGCGTGAGCATGTCACAGCATCCACGTGGAGGGAATCAGTTCTCTCCTTCCATCATGTGGGTTCTAGGGATCGAACTCAGATCATCAAGCTTGGTGGCAAGTGCCTTTACCCCCTGAGCCAACTCACCAGCCCAGCAACTTCCCTTTAAAGTATAACTTTATATAAAGTATAACTGCAATCTCATTATCACAGCCCTAAAAGCCAATGATAAATTTCTTAATATTATTAAATACCCATTCAGTATTCATATTTCCTTGAATAGTCCACAAACTTTTAAAATAAAGCAAACACAAATAGTTTATATTGACCATACAACAATTTCCTTTAGATCACTAAAGTGAAAATACCAACCTTTAGAGGAGTCCAGACCATTATCAGGTGTAGAACTGAATGTTAGTTGGTTTATAATGACAAATGTTAGCAGTGTACCCTACTGATTCACATTATTTTCTAGTACATTAATATTTTATCACTGTATAAGAGGAGCTGAGAACAAGGTACACTTCTTGCCTGGATGCAGCCAACAAGCGAGAAACGGGGACTGTGACATGAGGCTCCTTCAGTTTACATGCATCTTTCTGATTCATGTTAGTCTCTAATCCCAGATGTTTGTGCATTTTATCTCTCTAAACCAGTAGCTGCAGCCAATTTAAGGAGTGGAAACACTGACTTATAAGAATTAAATAAGTATTCTTAGGAATATTTAATTAATGAGACTGTTGCCTGTAATTTTGGAGTGAGCTCAGTACAGGGTCGTAGTGTTATCCCTCACCTCAAACCTGCAGCTAATCAGAAGCCCTTAGGAGGATGAGCACCTGTAACCATTGCTCAGAAAGGGCTGATTTATAAAAGCATCAAATGAACAAACTGTGTTAGAAGACACAGATGTTTTGATTTTATCCTAGATTGCAATAAGAATATAAAATGTGCTGCTATCCAAGTCCTGGATGAACCCTCAATAAAATGACAGCGATCTTACAATGAATAAGCCATTCCTGAATTCAGTAGAGTGTATCAGACCAATTACTTACCTTTATCTGAGATGCTAACACCTTGTATTTCCCAGGTAGCTGGAAACCCAGGTATTGCTAACTCTTGTTGATGCCTGGTAGATAGAATATTTTATAGTCATCAACACAGGTGAGCATTGCTTAATCTGGAATCAACTTAACATGATGTTAATTATAGTTTTCTTCTCACCTGGCCATTAAGGAAACCCCACACAAAACTAACACATCAGTAACTGTAAGGGTGAGGTTAAGATGACATCAGAGGACAAAGAACATTTTACATATTCAAAATAATTGTCCAAACATTGCATTAAATAGAGCCATATGAAAGTGGTGTTCATAGGCCAAAAAATACTTGAACAGCAGCAAATACATAGGATTCAGCATAGCATATACTACCAAGATTTGTGTTCGTTGTCCAACTTTCACAATAGGGACTTCAAACGACTGTGATATCATGAATTATCAGGTAAAAATTAAATTATATTCAGGGTACTACAGAAAGTAGAGCGTACACAAACGGTTGAAACAAAGAGTCAGAAACACGTAGCTCATTACTTAATTTCTCGGTTCCATGGACATTTCCTTGGTGTCTATCATGTAAGAGGAGCATTCCCAGGAATATGTATAGAGATAAATAACAAAGGGGCTGCCTTCCAGGAATGTACTCCACAAGGAGTGAGACAGGAAAACAAATTATAAAGTATGCAAAGCTATAGTGTGAGTGCATACAAGTGATACATCTGATTCTTTAGAGGATGCTTTTTTTGGATCCTACTGTCTGAGCTTGCAAATCAGGTATGAAGTTTGTGAGGAGTATTTCCAGAGAGAGGTATGAAGACTACAGAATGTGACCTGCTGGAATGGAAAGTGTACAGAAGGGGTGACAGCCAGGGATATTGGATACCAGGCTGTGGGTAAGAGCTGGTAGGTGAGCTGGTTTGTTTCTTCATTGCTGTGACAAAACACTCTGACCACTACCAACTTGGGGAAGAAAGGGTTTATTTAGCTTACATCTCCCAGGTCACAGTTCATCAGGGAGCCCAAGGTAGGAACTCAGGACAGGAACCCGGAAGCAGGAACTGGAGCACAGGCCATGGAGGAACACTGCTTACTGGCTTGCTCACCTGGCCCCTGCT